CAGGGACGGGGGTTGTTTGCAGGGACGGGGGGGTTTGCTGGGGTACTTTGACACCTGCAGTCCTGGAGGCGAGGGCAGGGCAGCCTGGGACGTTGGTCTTCATGTTTTCACTTCTCCCCTTCCAGCTGGGGCTTTACAGTCTTCTGCGAAAACGAGAAGCACGAGAAGCAGCAATGGTAAGGGAAGGGGTGGACAGAGGGATGCTAAGCTCATCCCCCAGGACAGACGGACACAGTGTGCCTTCACTGCAGGGGGTGTAGATGGGGATTTCTGTGGGCAGAGCCTGGCTGGGTGCCCGCGGACCCGCTCAGGATGCCACCGGGGTCTGTGTCTGTCACCCTCGTCCTCTTCAGTCCCCCTGGGGTCTGCAAGACCTCGTGCAAAGCAGTGGCTCGGGTCCTGGCTCCGTCCCCAACGGTGCCTGCAGCAGCTGGGTGTTCCCGCAGCGGGCAGAGGCACATCCCTCCCCGCTGCGCCCTGCCGTCCCCTCCGGCCACTGACGCTGTGTCCCCCGCAGGTACCTGTGCTGCGACACCCAGGCCGATCTGCGGGAGTGGTTCGCCACCTTCCTCCACGTGCAGGTAAGGAGCGGGCAGGCTGCCTGCGGGCAGGCGGCGGGCACGGGGCAGCGCACGCCGTGCTCCAAAAGCAGGGCTGCGGGGCAGGTCACCCTGCGGGGCGACAGCCCCAGGGGGATGCTTGGCTAGCAGAAACCCTTTGGGGTATCCAAGCATCCCTAAATACCAGCATCCCGGGGCGGAGGAGAGGTCCCCGGGTGGCTGAGGACCGAAAAGCCGGTCTCCAGCCCTCCTCCACACCCTGTCCCCTCTGTCCCCAGAATGGCGGGGCCCTGTGGCCCTCGGAAACCTCCAAGGTGCGGGCGTCGCGGTCGCAGCAGGACTCCAGGTTGGGTAACATCTCCCTCATCCCGCTGCGGGGCAATGAGAGTGAGATGAGGAACAGTGTGGCTGCTTTTGCTACTGATCCGCTAACTGTGAGTGAGATGGGGG